GTGATGGGATCAAATCGGAAGATGCAAAGATTGCAGCAATTCGCGATTGGCCTAACCCCCGCACTTTGACTGAGTTGCGGTCGTTCCTTGGGCTAGCCAACTATTATCGGAAGTTCGTTAGACACTTCACGATAATTGCTGCACCCCTTCGCAGATTGCTAAAGAAAGAAACCATCTGGAAGTGGGACTTAGATTGTACGTCTTCGTTCAAGCGTCTAAAGAGATGTCTAATTAATTATCCAGTTTTGAAGGTTGTTGATCCTTCTTTGCCCTTTGTCGTCACAGCCGACGCCAGTCAGTACGGGATAGATGTTGTACTTCAACAAGACGATGGGAATGGATACATGCTTGTTGAGTTTATGTGTCGACGACTGCCTAATGAGAAGGTCGCCGCTTCTACGTATGAGAGGGAGTTGTTTGCTCTCCGCGAAGCTCTAGATCGCCACTTCAAAGTGTACTTAGATCATGCGACACTTCGCTCGCTTAAACACAGGCGCAAATGACACCTAAGTTGACTAGGTGGGGACTGACAAAATGGAATTCTGACGGACAGAATTGAAGTTATGACTGACCCTAGTTAGCCCAGGCTATAAATAGACTCGACGCAAACTATAATTCACAGTATTACTACCTTCCCAGTACATAATTCTCAATTTGAGCATCCCAGTATAATCGCAATGCAGTAAAGCAGTCACAGAACAATTTTGGAGTGAAAAGAGCCAACAGAGGGTTAGAAATGAGCAGAGGGAGGTAGGGGAGAGATGGCTATGGCTGTCATGCAGTCTGCGATTTTTGCGTCCAGTCACGGACAGACAGATAGACCATTATAATTGACTAAACTAATACTATCTGGATCGCAATGCAGGTAGGTGCATGGAATGGACTCACTTTCAGAGAATCTTGCAGGTGATGATGAAGATCTGGCTATGGCAGATGATACCCTTACCTCGCCAATTTCTTCCAGATATTCCTCCTGACACGTCCACGCACAGAACGGCTTCAGACTCATTGATCCTCCTCAGGATCCTGTAGCGCTGCAGTCCCTCACTCTAGATACCCTGTATCTGGTCCTGTGGCGCCTAGTATGCCAACACCAAAATATCTCGCCACAGTGTCTGGTAGCCGCTGGTGCTAAAAATAGCCCCAGATGGGGTTATTTCTTCTGGAGATTGATATATAGCCTCAATCTCTGCCAGCGCTTCCCGGGGATGTTGCCGCTCAGGGTTCCCTGATGTCCTCGGGGGTAATTCACCACTCTGGGGTAATTCGCAATATTACCCCCAGTGAAATCAGTCTTGCAAATTCACACTCAAACATGCATGCAACAGATGAGAATAACTTGGCGCTGTGCACCCAACTCAAACTCGGAGATATGGTAGCTTGCAATTCAACTCAAATCCAAGTTTACTTCAGTTGACTATGGCGCTGGGCGCCCACACTTACACGTTCGACTCAGAGTTCACACGCAACTCGACTCCGGATCACCCTGGATACCATGCACGCCAACCACTGCACACACACATACACACTCACTAACTGTCTATGGCTATGGCGCATGGCCACTAACAGCTAACTAGCCTATCACTAACTTCTGCCCACTTCGTCTTCAGGCCATCTGCAGACCTCCCTTGCACAAGACGTCCGAGCAGCGCTTCCGCAGAGCTTCCGCAGGAATGAATGAATGGCTGGACGCAGCCTCTTGATTTATACTTCTGTGTTGCATTGGTCTGCCTTGTATCCCTGGCCCATGATGCACACAGTCCCCCCCGTGATACTTGCTGGACGGGACTGGTACTTTCTAGACTTTCCCATGACTGCATAGTGACAACCCTACGACGCAGTGCAGTTGCACTGGGGTCCTACTATTTGCCCTTGCCACTTGTCCTCGTCTCCAACATGGGCTTGCTTTAGTCACACCACTTGACCACTTGCCAACCTTCTAGAAGGACTGCAGCTGGACTTCTACTCTACAGGTCTATGGATCAAATCCTGGCTACCTAAAGACCAACGACAGACCTACTTACCACTGGCGGTCCTACAGGTCGCAGGTTCAATTCTTCAAGTTGTCACAGATATTGTTCACAGGTAAGTTGGGGAACTAGGGATCGAACCGTGGGTCCTGCATCAGCTACTTCGAACTGGTGAATACCGTTTCACCAGGGTTGGCTATGGGGAAATAGCCCTGTCCTCACCACTTCCTAACAAGCGCCCTGACAGGCTCAGTGCGCTTGCTCAGTGCCACGACTGAACACTTGAATCCACCGTTGAAAGTCTTTTCCCTGCTGACTCAGTACTGGGGAAGATGAATCGCCATGAAAATCTCGCCAGTAGATCGCCAGATGAAGAAGATGCCTCAGTGCGCTCAACCCTCAGTGTTCCAATTCCAACCCCAGCTCCGATACCAACTGTTATGAACTTCGTTGTCTGACGATTTTTACCGCCACTCACACACAGACCATCTCATACACGCCCATACATGCATAAGAGAAGGGGGAGAGGAGACAGAGTCCACACTGCACACAGATCAGAGTAGGCAGCGGAATACAGCTATGCACAGATAGGGAGAAGACACACAGTGTTTCTCACTCTCTGACAAACTCCCAACAACCAATCACAAGTAGAACCTGCGAGGATAACAATTGAAATTGCACTGATGATGAGCCAACTCAAACAATTATCGTAAAGTTTGTTCCAGTATCTCGCCACTCTCAGAACTCACACCCCACTCTCTGTCCTACACCCAGTTAGTAGCGCCACATCAGAATGGCCTCCCAGAGGCCAGCGCCAATCACCCTGATGAAGAACAGGTCCTGCGATGAAGTCTTCAGTGCCGATGGACAACTTTGACGAAGGAACAGGCAGCTATGGCTGCCACCACCCATGAACACACAGTGTAGAGCCTTGATGTAGCCCGGCCATGCGCAGATACCCCAGCGGTAGATGCGCTGAGGATGCCCCAGCTATGGCAGACTCAGACTGGGCCGGCTATGGTTGCTGTCAACGGCGAGGTCTCAGGATGCCGCCTGCAGACAATCTCCGCCACCAACTTGCTTGGCTTCTCCAACGCTGCTTTGCGAGAAATGAACTGCCAAAAGTCCTGAACCGATGGGCCTAACCTATCTTTAGACTACACTAGACCTAGACCCGACTGACTGACCGACCGGTACCGTTGCTGTTTCGGTCTCTCGGCCTCTACTGGACCCGGCTATAGGCTATAGGACCGTCTATCAGCATAGGCCACTTAGGACCTGTCTGTCCTAGGGGTAGCCCGGGCCTGTTATACGCAGTTAGGGTAGCTGTAGGAATTTGAGTTAGTACTGGGCCTATATTTTCCCAGATTTGCAGATATGTCCCTCACGAATTTCCTTACAGGTAGGTCTCTCGGTTAGCCCTCAGCCAAACAAAATTACGAATCTAACCCTACCGGTTAGTGTACAACCTCGCAGTCAGTCTCGACAGTCAAAATTCAGCAAGTCATTGCAATGGCGTGGCTATGGCGGACCCTCCACCTTCGTTGGCGCAGCTACAACTGTGGCGCCTGACTAATCACAACGACGATGGCGCGTGGAGTAACGGGAACCAACTCCGACACCAATGCAATCAGACTCGCTTTCTTCCTCACTTCACATACATGCAAACAGATGGTGAATCACACTGGCGCATAGCGCTAACACAAAACTCAGAGATATGGAAATCGAGAACTCAGTTCAGATGCAAACTTGCTTCCACAGGCTATGGCGCATAAGCGCCTGCACATCCAACACTCGATACTGTTTCCAACACCACCGGTCACACTCACTCAACTCTGGATCACCCTGAATACCCCACACACATACACACTCTTGCGTCTCTCTCCTATCTACAGCGGCTATGGCCGCTTAACCACTAACTATGGCTACGCTAACTTCTTCCAGCCCACTTCGTCTTCGGGCACTCTGCAGACCACCTCGCACAAGTCGCTTGAGACAGCGCTTCCGCATGGCTTATGCAGTGAATGATTGAATTGCTGGACGCTGCCTCTTGATTTATACTTCTGTTGGTCGCTGGTCTGCCCCTTTTCCTCAGGCCCTCGGTGCACACAGTCCCACACGGTACTTGCTCGACTGGACTGCGACTGACTGGACCGGTACCGCTGACTGCACGGGGTTGCACTGCCGACTCAATGGGGTCACACTGTCTACTCGACGCAGCTGGACCTACGACTTACCTACAGACCTCTAGCCTAGCAGTTTCAACCTCTATACAGCTGTAACCCCTACTTGACAGGTCTACAGAATCCCTACAACTACAGGGACCTACGGCAAAGCGCAGTCACTACTAACACACAGGTCATGGGTTCAAAACACACAGGGGTCTACTCGATACTGTACACGGGTGCAGGTAAGGTCTAGGGATCGACCCCTCGGATCTGCATCTGCCTCTGCAAAGGTGAAAAACCGTTTCACATTCAACATTGTATTATGATTTCTTGTATGAATAACAGAGGAGGAGATAAGGAGGAAGAGAGAGTTTGGCGAAGAGGAAGAGCTTTATCATTTGTGTATGCTGGTGTATATCATCGTCTTCTTCCTTCTTTTTTCTTCTTCTTCCTCCAACCTTCACTCTCCTCTCAAGTTCATTCATTTCTTTCTGCAATTGGACGGCATTGCACTATCTGATGAATGTGTATCTCGAAATGTGCCAGGATCGTAACAAAAGGGTTAAACAAACAATATTTAGAATTGTGGTACACTTGCAGGGTGTTGGAGAACTGTGGGTTCTTGCACGACTCCCTACTACAGAGTGTGTTCCTCTGTGTTACGGATGGAAAACCACAGGCTAGGCCCCGACAGGTGCAGATGTCAGTATTTATGGGAGTGATCGCTGGGATCGGTGAACTCAAATGACCAATCGTAGACTCCTTTTTTGGGTTTGTTTTTGCTTCTTTTTGTGGATTTCAGTGTATGTGTGCACCTAATGTTCGAGTTCAATTTTGCTTGTCATTGCGGATTGCAATGTAGGTATGGATGGATCGACGAAAAAACGATTGTGGCTTGCGTGGTTCCTTCGTTGCGTGGAAAACCGCCACAGAAATCTTTGAAACCAGTTGGACCTAAAATTCAGGTATTTGTTGCCCCTCGTTCCTGAATGCCTGGACGTGATTACTCCGGATAATCTGTTCAGACCATCCCTTGCTGACTGGGAATTCATGTGGTTTGTCTGGGCTGTCTATGTCTGGTCTCCCGCTGATTGATAGGGACCAGAGAGATTCAGGTCCTGTCCCACTCCATGCCTATGTCCAGGTTCAGGCTGTTTACATTCTCTGCAAACATCTGGGAGTCGTACCTTCCAGTGGCTTCACTTGAACAGACGGACACATCATGCCTGATAATGCATGTAGCCCCCTTGTGCAGGCTGGGCATACCTGATCTGAATTGCTTGCTATCTCCAAGCTTTTGGCGAAGCAAATGCTCCTGCGCATTTCAGGAGCAGGGACAGAGAGAAACCATTCACTGTGACCTCTCGTGCACACACATCATCAGTAGACAGATGCACACACACCACATGACAGCACACACGCAACACATGCACACATATGCGAGGATCTGATTCCTCGGCAGGCCTAAGGGGCCCCTGCTGCAAATGTGTGTGCCCTAAGTGAAGGCGGGCCTAACAAAGCACGAGAGGCCCTAAGCTGTCAAATTCGTATTTGGGGTCCGGGCAGTGTCGTCGCGCCAGTTGGTTGAGGAAATACAGGCCGAGCAACAAGGAAATTCCACGGCCTCCTAGGCTTTTCTGAAAGTGCAGGCCCTGGGCGAGATTCACAGCCTCAGACACAGACAGTTGGGAGGCCCAACTGAATGAGGCCCAGTAGCTGCACCAGAGGCGCAGCATCCTGGGGCCTACCGGAAGCTTCTGGGCCCAGGCCCGAACCAGTCAGGCTGCGAAGGCAGGCACACTCTTTCCATATAGGAAAGAGCTTTTTGCCTGGAGCCTCATTCAGGCACTCGCATGCTAGCGGCAGCGCTGCTGGAGCGGATGCTCGGGGCTGCTGCTGGTGCTGAGAGGCGAGGTGCAAGCGTGTGCGGTCGTGCAAGAAGCAGGGCGCTGCTGAGGGCAGCACCATAGCCCAACCTCCATAGCTGTCTGAGGGCTTGGATGTACAGTGAGGCGCAGGGGTGGTCTTCGGGTGTACAAAGGGAAGACATGGGAGTAAGACGAAGGAAAGAGAGAGAGGGAAGGATGATGATGATGATGTGAGGGCACATACCTGGTATTGGCGATGGTCTGCATGGGCAACATTTTCAAGTACTTCGGAGGCTGCTGACGTCAACAGTTGCGTTGTCAATTAGTAGGCTAGTAGTAGCTGTGTAGGGATTAGGCTGGGCGCCGAGCGCCAAGTAGGGAGATAGGGACTGGATACATATGTTGGTGGTGGCGAGAGCAAGCTCTCATTGACATTGGTTTTCAGTGCTACGATTCTCCATTGGTGTCGTATTGGTGCAATGCTGCTTTCTGAACACTGTGATACGATCTGGCTTTCAATGTGATTGTGCAAATCTGAATATTGTCATCTTCCTATTGCTCATTTTCCTTGCACATATCTATACTTTTTCGTTATGCATGGTTTGTTATGATTTGTGGAGGGGACGAGAGAGAGAATTTGGGGTGTTTAACAACAGAAATTCCAGTCTTCCTAGCTCTCTGTCATGGCGGATTTGAGCAGCTAGTGTCATATTGGTGCAATGCTGCTTTCTGAACACTGTGATACGATCTGGCTTTCAATGTGATTGTGCAAATCTGAATATTCAATATTGTCATCTTGCTATTGCCCATTTTCCTTGCACATATCTATACTTTTTCGTTATGCATGGTTTGTTATGATTTGTGGTGCATGGTTTGTTATGATTTGTGGAGGGGACGAGAGAGAGAATTTGGGGTGTTTTAACAACAGACATTCCAGTCTTCCTAGCTCTCTGTCATGGCGGATTTGAGCAGTTAGGATTGGGCTCATACTAGCGAGCTATTATTTCTCTGTGTATGGATGTGTTTTGCTGGTTTGTTTTTTTATAGATGGCCTAATTCTTTGCCCTGCTTTGTAGCATGGGCTGTCTTGTTGATGAAGTAATGTCTGTGGGTGGCCATGAGTTTTTTCTAGGGTGGGAGTTTGGGGTGTTTGTGACAAGGCAGAGGCAGAGCAGCGAGGCTGGGGGAGAGAGGGAGAGTGAGAGCACACACACACACTCACTCAACTCGACACAGACTCGACACGACTCGACGGACGCAGACGCAAAGTGGCAAAAGTCGCAAAGTCGCAGTCTTAAATTCCCAAACACAACGTCGAAGCAAAGTCGCACTGAACACAAGTACTGAGGCTGAAAACTTGGTCCCCGTACTGTGCTTGAGCTTGTATTTAATTACCGGACTCAAGTACGGTACGCAGGGCGAAAGTGAAAATGCCTTAGGGCTAGAACTGAAAATCAAAAGTCTGAAAGTGGGCGAAAATGCCGGATGGCGCCAAGTGTCCAAAATCCGAAAGTCCAAAAAGGAGGAATTTGAAACAGGACGCCAGAACGCGGATGGCGCCAACTGTCTGAAATCAGAAGAGCAAAACAAAGTAAAATAAAACAAGAAAATTGCAAAAAAAAAAAAAACAAAAAAAAAAACAGCTGTAGTGAACCCCAGACTGGAAGATACTCATCAGACGTCGAAGTACAAGTAGTCTCAGATCTGCACAACGTCTCCAGTTTGCATGAAAGTGATATCTGATACAATATCTCGTTACCAATAGACGAAGAGATTGGAGGGGGAATAGACAAATGAGAGGGTGGAAGGCAAGGTTGCACCCCTGCCGACCGCCGACCCCGACCGCCGACCCCGACCGCCGACCAGTAGGGCCGACCTGTCGGCGTTCTGCTGACCAGTCAGAAAACAACCGTCCACTGATTTTTTTTCGAATCTGAGTTGGGGGCTGTACTGCGCTTGCTGAGTACAGCCCAAATCCGCTGAGAAACGTTTGGGTATGGGGGGGGTTATGGGGGGGTTGGGGTTGGAGCATACCTGCAGCTCGGATT